TTGTCTGCAACTGCTCCCCTCCCATCCCCCCCATTTGATAATAAGGAAATGAGACCGAATCTGGAGTGTTATTGTCACTGCTTGGTTTTGTGTTGGGTAGCTGTTTTTTTCTTCCCTATTTGATTTCTTTGATGCTGTATTGTGTCAATGATGCTGTTGCTGCTAAGAAGTGACGTGCAAAATAAATTTGTTGATCTTGGTCTAGTTGCTAGTAGAGTTACATCCTAAAATACACCAGGATAGTAGATTTATTTTCTCCCACTTCTCATGCAGGTCAGTGACTGCATTAGGTGGGGAGACATAACTTTGGTTTAGACATGGTGACCACTGTTGGTGAATGAAGTGTTGCATTTAAGATTCCTACTTAAAAAAATTATTAAAGGAAAATTCATTACCTATTAATATTGACGTCAGTTAATGAGGCATTACATGCTAAGCTGAGATGTTATGTAGTTCAGCCTTTTTGCTGCGGTGTGGTTAACATTCGCGTGATGCTGTATGTAGAAACAGCTTCTCTTAGCACGAGGTGCTTCCATCCTACCCCTATACCCTGAGTGAGGTGGGAGGCTGTAACTCATTCAGGTAACTTTGAGGAGATCATTCCTTTTCAAAGGAATGAAGATAAGGCTTTTGGTGTGCTAGGTCTCATTCAAATGCTTACGTTAATTACAAGGAAGGGTTTCATGGTAACTGTTGGATTCCATGAGACAGCTTAACGCACAGGTCCTGTAGCCTGAATGGAGTGATGGTGTAAGGGATGGCTAAACAGGTTTGAACATTTCTTATGTGTTTATGGTTTTCTTCAGTAGTCTAAAATAATTCTTATCTAACGTGTTGCAGCTAATGTCCAAACTAACTTCAGGATTAGTAAAATGGAGCTCAAAACGCGGTTACTTCCTCAGGAGAGTGCAAGTATCTGGAATGGGGGTGAAAGTCACTGGTTTTAAGCAGTTGTATTGGACACTGTCATGTTCTTTGCTCAACATTTTCGTGTTTAAAAAAGATAATTGCAATATTGGTTCTGTAGCTAGACTTTTTAAAAGAGAGAATCTCAAAAAGAACCGTAGAATTTTGTAGAATTACGATTCTGTGCAATCTGTGTACCTTTTTTGACATAATGAAGTGCCTTTGTGGTGTTGGCTGCTATTTGAAGACCCTCTGTGAAGCCCTTTCCCAGGGATCCCCCTTCCAGTCTACCTACAACATGTGCTTGCCCGCAGCCCAAGAATAGCCCAGCTGACAGCTCGGAGCGGGACACGCTGTCCCGTAGGTGTCAGCGGGCTCGGAGCTGGTGTCATGTGAGCTGTGCCGTATCTCTTTTCAAAGCTGATATTTTGCTCTTACTTCTTCCTTTGCTTCCAGCTGTAGTGCTTTAAACAAACAGTGACCAACCCCAGATACTCCGCCTAATACACCCCCGTGCGTGCTCCAGGCAGCTAGGCTGTTCTGAGCTGTTAATCGCCTTCCCGTTGTCCAGCCCCTCACAGTAAGTAATGGTACCTTGCGTTTCCTCATGGCAGCTGGAAAGCTAAGGTTCTCTTAGGAACGTCCCACATTTGTGCATGATCAGATGACTCGGGTTCTCATATTCAGAAATAACTCCCTTTTCTCTTTTTGAGCTTTAGCCCTTTCCGAAGGCAGGACGCAGTAGATACGATGTTTGATCAGTGTTAGGCTACAGATATTTCCCATGACACTGCCTGGACACGCCTTTCATCTCGAGGCTGTAAATGTGAAATTTCTGAATTCCTTTGGAGATAAGTGGCAAGAAGCGAGGCTGCCAGTAGCCTGCAGTCCCTAGCAGTTTTTTCTCTGTGCTTGTGGACTTAAAAGAAAGAGAACATGTGTTATGTTCTCCCTTCAAGTAAACAGCCTTTCTTCAAATCATGAATAACAAAATAAAGATCATTCTGGCAGTGTAATGCAAGGTAGAGATTTTGTAGGACAGCTTAATGTTGATACTAAGAGACGTATTTTTATTTTTTACGTATTCACCTGGTTACTAATAAACCTACATATGCCCAATATTGAAGGAATCTTAAAATCAAACTTTTTTGTACTAATACTGATTATCCTTCTGCTGGAGTTTCATAGTACCAACTTCGAAAAACTTTTTTATTGAGAACAACCCATGTGTTAGCCTTTTTATACGCAGCAGGTACTCCAGCTCTCACAGCTCTTTTCTAGTGAGCGTTTGTTAGAGTGAAAGCTCATTTGCTTAAGAAACAAGAAGAGCCTTTTCTCCGCTTTCTCCCCGATCCTGCGTGTGCACGTGTTATGGTAGCTGGTGTTGGGAAAGATCTGCCAGCGCTAAAGGCTTGGTTCGCTGACAACTGTTAAAAGAACCCAGCACAACTTGCTACAGAAATTCTTCTGCATCATATTTTCTCCCCCACTCCCCCAAATATTTAAAATACCTTTGTATTTTAAATTAAGAGTTAGTCGTTGCCCAAGTGCCAGGCATGCACTATTAATACACTAATGAGGTCAGGTTGTGCTCTTTCACTGAGTGAATACTTGCCAAAACTCTTGAAACAAGTTTCTGAAAATGCTTGCTGGCCATTAAATCTTCCCTTGTCACCGTTATGCTTGTAGTCGCTGCTAAGGACAGCAAAAATGCGACTCTAAATGACATATTACCTAGAGCGTGTGTGGATAAGGAATAACTAGCTATGAATAATATCATTAAATAAGCCCCCAAAATGCATACAGTCCTTTGTGGGGAAAGGACATTAGTGTATTTATCGTGCGTGTTCTGTCTATGCTGTGGATGTATTTTGAGGACTGGCTTTGCTCTTGGGGCCAGAGCCTGGCCCCAGAGCTGGCACGGAGCAAGGAGCGCTGCGATCCACTCTGAGTGGCCCCTGAAGAGATGATAAAATTACCAGGATTTGTCCCCGAGTCAGGCCCAGACATGGTGACGCTAATAGTTCAAGTATGGTTTTTGTTCCATAGAAGGGCTAGAAAATAGGTATATGCCCGGTCTCTTGTGCTTCTGCAAACAGAAGATGTATCTGGCAGGCTTTCAGCCAAAAGCCTGTAACTGCCCCCGTTACTGTTTACTGCAGCGTTCCTGAAACCTGTGCCCAGCTCTGTGTCGGAGGAGGGTCAGTTAGTCTGGGATCACGTTGTTGCTCCAGCACTAGGAATGTCTCTGCTGCCTGATGGGCAGCTCTTTGCAACTTGACGGTGCAGTTTTTCAAGGTGAGCAGACTGTCACTGCAGGTGACTGTGTTGTGCTGGTCTGGGAACCGCGGCACCTGAGCGGGCCTTGCCTCTGCAGGGAGGGCCCTGGTGAGAAGGTGAGCGTGGAAACCGCTTCGGGTGGTCTCAGCTCACAGCTGGGGCTCGTGGGCCGGGGCGGCTTGTCCTGGTGCTGAGGCAGAGCGGCTGCACGCACGCGCGGGGAGGAAGGCAGTACTTCTGCAGAGTGGCGAGGAGCAGCCGAGAGCAGTCGTACCCATGCTGTGTGTTGGGCTGGGGTGGCGTTTCCAAACATCCAGCATCCTCTTTAAGTAATGACAAGCGTGGTACATCCAGTTCAGGAAATAAGTTCCTCTGCCTTATTCAACCAATGTGGGAATTTAATTTTTCAATTTTTTTTTCTCTCTCTCTCTCTCTCTTTTTTAAATTCTAAAAAATGAAAACTGACTACCACACTTCCGATTCCTTCTAATTGGTTTGTGTTATGGTTGATTATAACCTCTTTTTTGAGCCCTCTCACCCAAGTACTCGCATCTCTTCTTCCTTCCTGTTACCCACAAGCTTTTGCTTGGTTTTATAGTACTGCTCAAAATAAAACTAATCTTGTCATACTGTGAAACAATTTGATTCAAGGTAGACCCAAGATGTGGCGTGTAGAAGTTTTTATGTTACAGGTGCTGGATTTCGTAGCTCTTCACCAGCTCTGCTGCTGGCATAAATGAAGGTTAAATTTTGTTTTGTGTTGTGACTCAGACCTTCACAAACAAGATCTTTGAACTAAAAAAGAGAGTGGAGACTGAATTGGTCTCTACAGGGTGAAGGGTAATTTTAGAATGAAAATGAAGGATCATTGCAGACAGTGATGGTGCATTTATTTTTGCTTCCTTACAGTGAGCTCTGTATCTGATAACTTTTGCTAGATTCTCTTCTCCAATGCTGCATCCTTTTAACTTCTGTAACTTTGGTAGGAAATTCTGCTGAACAGCCGTGCTTAGTAATTGCTGCAGGTAAAACTGGAACAGATTCATTCGTGGAATTTTCCCTTGTTTGTTTGTTCCTAGAACGATACTTTGATCTCGTTGAATCTAATACGGTTTCTAGCTACTGCTTCCTGCGGCTTTACCAACCTGCAGGAAAACGTTTAGTTTGGGGGTGGGGAAGAAAGAGTGTGGGTAAAGCTCCACTTTTAGGTTGTCCGTGGCCAAAGAAAGCTACAACTGTCTGGTGGGACTTTGTTGGTTTTGTTTTACAAATAGCAATGTGCTAACCTTTCTTGAATGGTCCACTAAGCACCTGGTACCATTGGGGATCATCGAGGTTCAGTAGTTCTGGGGGAAGTAATGCTAGCTGCTGTTACAGCCGACAAAAGCGATGCCTTCTGTCGATAATGTAGCACTGACCAAATAAACCCCTTTTCTGCTATTTTGTTTACTATGAAATGATACCAGTAATATTTGTGATATCGATATTTTTGTTTTGTAATCTCGGGAGAGCCAGGGTAGCTTTGACCTGTTGCTGCGTCCTTTCAGCTTGCAGGTGGCAGTGGGCGCGTTCTGGTCTGTCACTGACGAGCTGGGCTCCCTGGCACTGGTGGTAGATGAGGGGTTTCTTTCTTTGAGAAACGTCTGTGTGAGTCAATCCGAGGGAAGAAAGGGGAGGAATCAGTGCTTGCTGTCTTGATGTACAACCGCGTGTAGGCACACCCCTAGAAAGAGTTTCTTGCTTTCAGCGCTGGATGGACAGTGATGATCCTTCTCTCTCCCCTCTCTTAACTCCAGCAGGACTGTGAGGCAGAGTTTGGTATGATACCATGGAAGGGCAGCATAACCACCCGCATCATCTAGGGGACCAGAACAACCCTCTTTGCAAGCTGCCGGGGCAGGAATATCAGCATGATCCTCAGGTAAGTGCATGTATCTCTTCAGTCTTTCTCCTGCTCTGTTTTCTTCCCTTCCTTTTGTAAAGGTCTATAGATTTCTTGGCATTTAGTGCCCCCCCCCCCTTTTTTTTTTAATAGTGCAGTTATAGCAGTTTTAAGGTATATCCAGTTTGGGATTCTGCCCACCAGCCAGAGTTTCCTGAATCTCGTTTTTTGATGATAATAAGAGAGAAAGGAGATACTTTGAATTTTGCTTAAAGCAAGTATTTTTAAATAATCTTATGAAAACATGTACTGTGTTGGCATTCTCTTCTCTTTGAGTCCTTGAAGAAAAGGCCAAAGAAAAGCAGTTGATTGTGTAAGTGAATAAATGTATTTTATCTCCTTTTATAATAAATGCTGAAGGGGTAGTTACCAAATACAAGAAAAAGTTCATCCTGCATGAAACTGTAGGCTCTCTGACTTAATTTCCTGTGC